ATATATATCTCCTGGGTGAGAGGCTCATTTTGATGCTGTGATGGTTAATCTTGTCAATGGGGCAGATCTAGAGTCACTTTGGAGATTCTCTCTGAGGGAGTTCCTAGATTGATCTGAGCAGGGAAGACACACCCTAAATTCGCACAGCACCTTTCCACCCCTGAATCCCTACCTGAATAAAAAGGAGAAAATGAGTGGTACAACAGCAGTCAGCTCACTCTGCTCTCTATGGACTACCAGCCATGGCATGCACCTGCTGCTATGCCTTCCCCACCATGATGGACTGTGAGCCAAAAGTCAACCCATCTGCCATAAGTTGCTTTTGTCAGGTATTTTGCACAGCAATTTCCAGAAAAGTAACTAATACAGATGTGTACATTTTTTTACCATTTGGCTACTATCTTAGAGATCTTCTTGCCACTTTTCTGGTTGTTGTGTGATGTTCCCACTAAGCCAAAATTTCTAGGTGTGTAAATGACAGAAATATAATAATAATAAGCTTTAATAATGCTTCATGCTCACCCTTTCATCACAGGGGGGTTTGTGAAGATTAAGAAAAGCATGTAAAATTATTTTGCTAACATAACTACATTGAGAATAATTTATCAAATGCTCATATATGGAAATCTTTCTTCCAATAAAAATGTAGATATTCCTCCGGACAGTGTCTTAGGTATGCCCCTTGTTCTTTGTGCCCCATCTAGCAGGAAGCCCCAAACCACATTTGTAGATCAGTGTAGGAAATGAGTGGATCCATATACCATTTGCATCTATCTTACCCTTCCTTTTGTATTATTATATCTATAGATTTCCGAGTCTGCTTTATTTTTCTACTTTGTTATAAAGACTTTGAAAATTTGTATCCATCTGCCATTAACAAAAATCAAAGTTTCTATTCCATGTTTCAAAAGGCAATGTATAAAATGTTGGCAAGCTGCCAGCCATTGTGGCAGGTAACAATATATAGACAGCATGCCAAGTGACATGGGCCTAAATTGAAGCCTCATCCACTGCTTCATGTGAATCAGAAGTCTGTGCATGCCAGCTTAAAACCTCATAGTTTAGGAAACCCAGATATGCCTCCCAGTGGCTCATAGATAACCAGCTGTGGTGATTTGAATGAGAATGTCTCTCATAGGCTCCATGTATTTGGACATTTTGTCCCTGGTTTGTGGCTCTATTTGGGGAGGGTCATGAAACCTTATGAAGGTGTGGCCATGCTGGAGGAAGCTCATCACTGGGGGTGGGCTTTGGGAATTCTTAAATCTTGCCAGATTTCCAGTCTCTTTCTGCTTTCTGTGCCTGTTTGAAGATTTGATTGCTTAGCTTTCTGCTCCAGCCACCTCCTTCTGCCATGCCTCTATGCCATGATGGACTCTTACCTCTGGAACTGTAAACAAAATAAACTCTTCCTTTTATAATTTGCTTGATCAGTGCTTTTATCACAGCAACAGAAAAGTAACTAATACAGCAGCCTTCTTGAGTATCACTCCTGATGTCCCTCTCTCCCTCAGCTGCTCCAAGTCTTCATGTTTTGCCTGTCTGAGTGCTGTGTGGTGCTTATAAGAAGGCAGAAATTCATGAACTTTTTATTCATTTAGGTTTCTTCTTGTCGGCAGGGACCTTGAGATTCTGAGATTCACTGACTTCATTCAAACTACACAGGCATGTAAACATATCTTTTGGGTTTGACATGGTTCTAGACAGACAAAATTGTGCATGCATCTTCTGATAATGCTAGATACTGTCCCTTGTTTTGATGTCTTCAAGTAACTAGTTGATTTCTGTCTCAGCCTTTGAGTTTGAAGCTTAAAATCTGAGGCTGAAGGCTGGGGCTGAAGGAAAGACAAACACAAAATAACCTTTGATAATGGGTTTTTTTCTTAATTTCAGTTTTGCTAATATTTGCTAGTCTAACCACCTATTTAATGTACAATATAGATTGTTTTGTCACAAAATTTTAAATATATGAAATATAAAATTCTGAAATGTGTATCTCCTAACTTCAACAGAAGTGATTTTATATACCAATTCTTATTTCATCAGCCTTTTCTCTGGATGTATATTGTCCTGGCTACATAGTTTCCCTTCTTTTCTTTCCTAATCCCCAAATAGGTCAGACTCCCTGTCTTTCTGCATCACACTCACTGTGTTCTTTAGTGACTCAAACCAGAATTTGTACTGTGACTGTGTTTGTCTGACACACTGGAAGACATCTGGTGCTCTGTATAATAAATCTACCTCTGAAGTGACATTTCTGAGAGAAAGATGTCTAGGGAACATACTGGATTTTTAAAATAATGATTTATTTTTATTATTTTTAATTATGTGTACTTATGTGTGTCTGTGTATATGAATGCAGGTGCCCATAGAGGTCAGAGGTATTGTATCCCTTGAAGCTAGAGTTACAGGTGATTGTGAGCCACATCACATGGGTGCTGGGACCCGAACTCTGGTCCTCTGCAAAAGCGGTACATGCTCTTAACCACTAAGCCATCTCTCCAGACCCTGAATTTTAAATATTTTATTATTTTTTATGTGTGTATGAGTGTAT